ATTACAACTTAGTACCCCCCTACAAGAAAACAAGTATTCCTAACATTTTCATCTCCTGTAGGCCACCTTACAGTGTATTTGTCCAAGCGTTGCATTTCTGACATGGGAAAAAGTAATGGTTACTGCTTTTCTGCCTGCAGGTGCTTCTGTTCTGAATGATTGATGCTGTATTGGAAACATTAGAGAAATACAGAAGATGCATCACAGCATGTCTTGTCATTGACTGATACAACACTCAAGGAATTGACCTGCAAAATGTGTTTCACGTTGTATTTTACAAATGTTGCATTTACAAATAACAAATTAAATTCATCAGGTCAGAATGCTCTCACAGTTGTGCACAGTGTCACTGATAGGAGAGAACAGAAAATATGTATATAGTTTAATTGCATGGCATTTATTTCTTAAACTTGCAGAAGTTCATTATCCTAGCAAGGACTGTTAGATTTTTTGGATTGAAAATAAAACTTCCAGAGATGCCAACAGCAGTCCATGAAAAGCAGACGGTTTGCTTTGCACATTTGTTTCAAGAGGGTGTTTGTTTGGTAGATGAAGGGAGGATTTAACAGTTATGGGGCAAACCTAGAATTTATTTGAATTGCTGTTTGGGAGAAGATGTCTACTGATTTCACTAGAAGTTAGTCTGAATAAGAACTGTGACAATAGCTTAGTATTTGTCCTGATGTTTTTAGTAGTCTTTCTCTTATCTCTGCACCATATTTAGACACGTTTTCATCATATGGCAGATCCTGAAATGTGGTGAGACTTCTAATTTCCTCCTCTAAGCTGATGAATACATTTCACTCTTCCCTATGCATAACATAGGATAGTATCCAAATATGAAGTCATCTACTTCCTAGGCCATCTGCGTCATATGCCTTATTTTAGCCTCTTGATTTGTGCACAGGGCGTAATCAGACATCCAACTCTAAAAGTTCAAGTATTTCTCAAACTGGTAAAATGTAAACATGTCCCCTCCACTTCAGAGTAAACCAGGTTATCTTAAATGCTCTTTCATGCTTTTCACTTCTTTCCAGATTATAAAACATAGCTGAAAAGAGCTGTTTGCTGACATCTCAGTGCTCAGATTCCTAGCTGATGTTTTCTAAACCTCACATGCTCCTTCTTGGGTTTTGGTCTATGTCAGCAAAATTCCTTGCATTGCTATTCTTGGGTATAAATCATCCTTAGCATTGCAAAAGATCCATTGAGAAAGGGATTATGCAGGACTAAGAAAAAAATTATTCTTGCCAAACAACCTGTGTTAGGCTGGAGATAGGAATTAAGTTTTAATTTCCTAATCTTATATGATGCACAAAGCACCTGGCCATCAGCTAGCAAAATGGAGAAAAATACAGTCAGCTTCTCAGTCAGCTACAGGAAAGGAGTTGGGAAGTCAATGAGTCTTTGAAGTTAAAGCTATTGTGAGGATTGGGACTCTGGGGCAATTGCCCCTGTTCAGGCCATGGTGGGAGATGAGGGTCCCACTCAGAAGGGCAGGTAGCAGCCAATTCATGTCTGAGAGGGGGAAGAGCTCAGCTACAGCAGGGGCCTTTCCCATTTTCCTTCTTGCTTAGAGCCCTGCCCTGAGACCAGGACTGGCCCAGCCACAGAAAATTTGCAAGAAACTTTTCATGACATCTCCAATATAGGCTAATGCTGCTGAGAGCAGCTGCACAAACCAGTGAATCACATCAAGAGGTGCCCCCATCTTTCTCATCGAGCAGAGCACTCTCTAGCTGAGTTAGGTGATCATTTCTCTCTTGGTGGGTGAGTTGTCAGTATTTGTGTGTGAGATGAAACACCGCAGATGCTTTCCAGGCCGAGCTCTTGAAAGTCATAGAAAGAAAGAAGGGCTGTAAGTCCATATGTGGTCGTCTCGGGTTTCTGTTCCCTGCTTTTCCTCTGGTCCCACTGCTCATTTTCTTCCTTTAAGTTTGCAGGTGAAGGCTTTGAGAGCTGGATTGAGTGGGTGCATGTAGACTGGCTGACTCGAGATTTTCTGTCCATGCTAGAAGCAAGTCTGCAAATGCAGTTCCAGACAAGCCCAGGCCCTGTCCTCTGCAGTGCACTGCCACCACCTATCCTGAGCCCACCCTGCGGTTTGGTAAACAGTTATCTTCTTGCACTGAGCTCATCCGGACAGTCTGGAGATAATCTGCTTGCAAAGCAGCCATATGTATGGGGCATGGGCAGATTATGGAAGTGATGACCTGACCACTCATACAGCTGTCTTGTCAAAAGCAGCATGGACATTGTGTGACATATTTTGGGAGACTCAGATCAGAGGAATCCAATGCTAACACAGCAGCTTTGCAAAGACACTGCTGGATTATAAAAGTATCTAACAGTTGGCAGGTATTAGCCTGGGCTTCCAGATAAAAAGGGGTTTTAAAGCCTGTAAGTTGTGTGCAGAAATGCCCTCCATCTGAAGGGTGATGTGAAAGCAAAGCAGGACAAAGGTGTCTGTGGTGGTGTTGCTTGGAACAGGGAGCTGGAAGCTTCAGTCCTGCTCTTGGCTCCCACCTCACTGTGTGGATTACTTGGGAGAAAGCAACAGCCTTTCTGTTGCTCTGCCCCATCAACCACAGAGCACACTGAGACCTCCTGTGGCTCAAAAAGCACTCTTCAAAATCCATAAACTGGCAGGTTTAAAATTGGCTGTTTAAAATATGATGATGTCTGAAAGGCTGAACACCACAATTTGTTTTTGTAGACAATATTGGATAGCTGCAGTCATTGTGCATAGCATGGATGTCAACAAATGTGAAATGAGGATATACCGCAGCATCCATTGCATGCTAGATTTGCCCTGTGCTGCCTGTTTGCAAATCCATTCAGATGCCTGTGAGGATTTTCTGCTAATAAATCAACATGGTCTACTAGAATGTCTAAGGGAAATCCCTTTAATTATTGCCTGTGGATCATTAACTTTAGCAGGAGTGACTGCCCAAGCATGGGTAAGGTGTGAGCATCCACGATGTGGAGGTGGCACCTGAGGAAGGGTTTCTGTTCTGCATGTGTAGGAGAAAGGACAGAACCCCCACCGTGACATGTTGAGGGTGAGCCTAGGGAGATCATCACTGCCTTTGCTTCAAATTAGTAAATGAATTGCATTCAACACTTATTCATCACTCCAGCAGAAGCAGCTAACACAGCAGCATATAGTTCCTGTGAAGATATGGTGGGGTAGTTTGGGTACCATGAGCAGTTAAATAATTGCTCTGATAGGATGTAGCACACCATGTGGGGTAAAAATCACTGCTAAGCAGCATGGTGCAGCTCTTGTAATATACCTCCCTTTCAGCTGCAGCACCAAACTGTTAAAGAAAGAGAGACCCTTCTCTTGGCAGTAAGCTATAATATTTTCCTGGATTTGGTGCTGTTGTGAGGGTATGTGAAAGTATGCTCCCACATGCCTTTTCACTTGCACAAAAGCAACAGAAAATGAGAAATGTTCTGAATCACTACCAAGGAAATAACAAAGAATTAATGCTAACAGCAAACTATTTTGCATGTCATTAGACCTCACTGATATAATCAAGCTGGTTTTATTCCATATATCCTGGCTTTGGCCTGTAATAGGATGAATAGATCTCCTGTTAATGAGGTACACACAAGGTACTGCTGTGGTAAGCGTGCACTTCTTGCCAGAGCCCAAGGCAATGAATGTAGCATGGTAATTATAGCTTCGGGAGAGATAAAGTTTTGAAGAGTATGTAGTATGCAAGCTACAGTTAAATAGCATGGCTCGACAAGGCTGGAGAGACAGTTCAATTCTAGTCAAAATCAGCCCACACATTCACAGTGGCTACCAGATTCTGCTCTCATTTACACTGTTGAAAACCTCAGAGTTAACATCAGGATTCATTCTGAATTTACACCTTTGGGAACATGGTCCTTTGTTTTTGCAAATAAACATGGATAATGTGACTTAAGATGAATATATGTAGGACCCACTGATGGACTGTGGTGTCTTCCTTTTGGGCAGGGGGAGACATAATTCTGCAGTAGAAAAAGCCAGCTAGTATCTGCACTGACCAGCCAGATGAGCCAAAAATCTCTGTTCAAATCATCTCTTTGGGGTGAGTAGGTAGAAATCAGTGGGTCTGGTCCAGTTCTATGAGGACAGCAGCCCACACATATCCGTGAGGAAGACCCAACTCTCATTCCCAATTCTGGTCAAAAGGAAGGGCCTCTTCATCAGGCACATTAAAACAGGCCAGTGTTGCTGTACCTAGGTGTTTAATGCGAGATTTTTTTCCATTGTAAACTTCACATGAACCATTAAGGTAACAAGAGCCTGCATCAAGGGGAATGTGCTGCCCCGTGGGCCTCTGCAGGGGCTGAGAAAGGAAACAGCACGTGCTTCTGTGCAACAGAAAATCTTTATTGGAATTATATCCAAAGGATCCAGACTTCTGTGCCTGTCCTCCCCCAAACCTACAGTGTACACTGACGGGACACAACAAGGAACAGCTCTGGCTCAGCAAGCCGAGGCAGGCAGCCCTGAGCCCTTCACATTACACCCAGTCTGCCTTCTTGTCCCAACAGTGGGTGTTAGGTCATCACAGACCTGCTCGTAGGAGGCAACGGGAAACCCAGACACCACCATGAGCAACGTCTGCAGATGTGGGCAGAGGCCCAAGCTCAGGGGAACTGAGTTAGTGTTTGGTGCCTCGGGGGACCTGATGAGAAGGGGAAGGGTGTACAGTGGCAGCAGACTGAATGGCACACACAGGACAGCAAGGAAAGTTGGGAAGCATGTTCCAGGTAGAAGATTGCGGTAGGTTAAACCTGGAAGGAAGGAACAGTGGAGAGTGGTAGTGGGCTACCAGCTCCTGTCACAGTCCCTGTTAGACTTGGCTGTGGTGCAGTCATGGAGGATGGCATCCAAGTTAGCAGCACAATGAGAGAACAGAACAAACTCTTAACACATTAATACCCAGCAAGGCAGTTTGGGGAAGGGCTCATCTTCATACTCCAGTCCTGGCAAACCTTCAGATGCAGTATTTCCAAAAGCAGGCTGGGAAGGGATACAAGAGAAAGATGTTAGCATCCAAAGGACTTTTTCCATCTTCCTGCTCTAGCTCTGGAGTGGGTTTCAAAAGCCCCAGGTCTTGAGAGAGTTGGGGTGTGAAGCCAGCATTGTGGTTTCTGGGCAAAACTCAATAACCACCTTTGACTTCATATAACACTTTTAGAAGGTGTTTCTTTTAGCTGCTTATAGTGTAAATAAGGGGTCTAAAAGTTGTTTCCATGTTGCTTGATTTATAAGGGTTTGCTTTTCCTTTTGTCCTACTTCAGCAACATCAGGGATCAGCTTTTTCTTTCCTGTCTACTGGCCAGCAGTTTTTCTGCTTCAGAGGTGTGTGCAGGGTTTTTCACCTGTAGCTGACTGGAACAGCAGGATGCTGACTTGGAGAGACCGGATCTGGTCCTTATGATTTTTTTTTAAAATCCAGTCACTCTACCACTCTGCTGCTAACTGTCCTCCAAACAGCATTGATCTCTGTGGGATCTTCTAAGATGACTAGATTAGGGAAGGATGCACATTTTGTTGGAAAAAATAGCTGTATCACCAGCATGCCCTGTTCTTTGAATCCTGTGTCGGTCTCCTATTGTCAAGTATGAGGATAGATTTCTGCCTGGTTTTTGAAAGCAGAATCTAGGGAGAAAGCTTCTACTGAATCAGCAGTGCTCATGCTGAGACACGAGCTCCTCCCAGACTGGAAGGACTTTAGATGAAGGCAAAGATTCTCTGCTTTAATTTCTGGCAGAATCTGATTTAAACCTGGCAGAGGGAAGTAGTTTTATCTACAATTGAACCTTCCGGACTGGTAGGGGCATGAATTAGATTAGCCAAATTAATGATAGCCTCCAAGGTTGCTTATAAATTGCAGCTTGTCTAAGGATCACCTAAGCACTTAAGTAAGCCTTGCACAAAGAGATTTTTCTCTTGGCTGTCTTGCAGGTTGTCAGCTTGCACGTGCACAGAGCATGTGGGGTAAGGGCAGAACTAGCTCTTTTGCTTTTAGGCCAGATGTATCATCAGTGACTTCTGGTTTACAGCAGCACTGCTTTGTGGAGGAATCCAGAGAAAGACGGAGTGAACAGCATTGTCCACATGCTTGTCAGGGGCAGCCTTGCAGGAGCAGTGGTGCAATATGCTCCTGAGTCAGACTGCATACAGACTGGACAACGCTTGGAGACCAACTCGGGGACCTACCAGATCTTAGTTCCCTGCATTCTTGGCTGATTTCCACATCCTTTTTAGCTGCTTTTCAGCAGCACAAACAAGTGCTGCTTTTTTCTCTGTAGGGAGGCAGTGACCTTGGCAGAGGGGAATGCATACAGTCCACATGCCTCATTATGCCTTCAGCACTAGCTTTGTGCCCAGAGCAAAGCGATGGGTACACTGTGGGGACATGTTCATACAGAACTCACCCCCTCCAGGACAGGCACTCATTGCTCATATAACCCCATGTTCCTCTGTGAAAAGAGGGATGCAGCACTGACTGCCTCCAGTGAGGTCCTGGGTGAGATGACCCAGTGTATCTGCCCTGACAGCAGACAGGGTTGGGTACACAGTCCTTCTCACCAGCTGCTGAAACAGCCAGCCATTAACAAGAGAGGGCCAGGACTGCTAGAAAAGCTGCCAACCTGTTTTTCAGCATATTTGGGGCATATTTACTGTCACTGTCTTTGTTGCAGAAAGGAAGCCCTGGAGATGAGAGCTGGACAGGATGGTTGCAGGGCTCTAAGCCGACACCTACCACGTTTTTTGGGCTGGGATGCTGAGAGACTTTCCAAGGCATAGGCCACCTCTGACCCTTCCTCAGTTGAGAGCTGATCCTTCAACTTCTCCAGCTGTTTAAAAACAAACACAGCAGTAAACAAATGCCCCATCATGAGGAGCTCCACAGCATGCTGGATAGTGCAGGGTGGCTCAGAGGCAGGAGGTACAGGCAGCCTGGCTGACAGCATCACTGGGGAAGACAGGGCCTTCCCTGGAGCAGGACCATTCCAGGAGGATCTGCCTTTGGAGCACTCACACCTCCTCATGTCCTCCTCCATTAAGCTGCTTGTTTGGTGGCAGCAGCGTAGGCATACTCTGCTCTTCCCTCCTACCCCAGGGTGCAAACACCTGTGGAGAGGAAGCTGCATAGAAGGATATTGCACCAAGAGTCAAGTCAGTGCTGGGGCATCCACCCACTGCAGCAGAGAGCAGTTTTCCCATTGCTCTGGGCTGTCCCTCTCCTCTCTCCCCCCCAGCTCTTGCTAACTTCCCTTGGTTATAATGTGGAAAATCCATGGTATTTCTTCTCCGCCTGTAGCTACAGGAACATCTATGGCCATGATCTAGACTTCTGCTCTGGCAGTGTTGCTCCCAGGAAGCCAGAGCTTACTGTCCCTCAGCACTGGAGCGAGGGGCTGGGGTAGGAGCTGACAGCCTCCCATCTGGCATACCGCACTGTGTTTTTTCAGTCTGAAGTGAAAAGTGCTAAGAGGAACCAGCAGGACCTCCAGGATCCATGTCAACAGCTGGACCTGGCCTGAGAAAGGGTAAAAAGGGCTTCCACGGCTTGTGGAGTTTGGGGCACAGTGGGAGCCACGTCAAGGTTGCTGCACGCCTTTGCCTGTTCCTGGAAACTCGGTGCAGGATGGGGCATCCTCTTGCTGTCTCTGTGTGTGTGCACTCCACACAGCACAGCAGGGCTCTGACCCTGGGTTGGGCCTCCCTTACTAATAAAGGGCCCAGATAAAAATCAGCCTGGATTAGGTGTGCAGAGGTTAGCCCTCTAACTTCAACCCATTAGCAGATGCAGCCAGCTGATGCAATGCCTAGAAAGGCAGCAAGATCTCCCCTTCTCCCTCCCTTTTCTTCCATGGAGATTTCCTTTGGCGTCTGCTTTTTTTCCTGGCTTAGCCTTCGCTGGCCTTTCACTGGTGGAAGAGGCAAGAGCTGCCTCAGCCTTTACTGCACTAGTCTATCATAGCCTTGCTCTCTTTTTATCTCTTCTAGCTTGTGCAACTATGTAGCCCAACTTCTGCTTTTCCTTTTGTGTGATACATGCTTACATTATAGCAGCAGAATGGAGAGTAGCAGGATGTAAAGATAGAAGAATAGGGCATAAAGACAATATACACAGTTGTTCGGCTATTCGTGCAACAGTATGCATGTATGTGTCTGTGCACTTGCTCCCCTCACCTGTTCAAGCTCTTCAAATTTCTTTGCCAGCTCCCAGTCTGCAAGAACAGAGAGAGTAACATCAGTATCTGCATTGCTTCCCAAAGCTCAAATCCAAAACAGTTTCTTCATTTAACCTCTTCAGTGGTTGACAAAAAAAGACCTCATTATCATTTATTTCCTCATAGTGATCTTCAAATCTATGGTAGCAGAAACAGTGACAGAAAAGCAGGCTTTCTTTGCTCAATTCTATGGGACTTCACCCTACTTTTCCATTGTGAGGGAGGCTTCTTTATCATTCACCATGCTCTAGGGGGATTGGCCCAACAAGGTCACGTACTGTGTGATACCAACTCAGGTGAACCTCTTTGCTGCTTTTTAATTTTCATCCTGATAACAGCAAATCCTTAATGCTGGTTTTTCTGTCACTGGCCTTTTTTATGAACTCCCACTGCTTCCTTTAAGACTTGTTTACCCTCACAGCACCCATACAGGCAGAAGTCAGAAGACACAGATTCAGCCTAGCATAGCTTATTGCTTTGTAAGTCAGCAAACATCAGGGCTGGCAGAGTGGAGCAACAGGAAAAGTAACATAGCAGTGAATGCATGGGGTTTGCACTTCTAAATGTTAGGGGAGCACAGGGACCTGGGGACCAGATTCATAGATCAGACTTAGAGATCCCAAGGCTGAGCAGTACTTTACTAAAATGTCAAGAAATTATGCAGATGGATGAATGAGCTGCCCTGAGATATCTCATCGAGGAGAATGAGGAAAGTTAGGTGCCTATGAACGGGACCTAAAATCTCAAGCTGAATTGGGAAGGGTCTGGACTAGCAATAGGGAAAGCTGCAGGAAGGGATGGGGGATTTCAGTCTCACTCCTCTTGAAGACTGAGGTACCTTATTCCAGACTCAAACTGATGTCAAAACCAGCTTTTTTTTTTTTTTTTTTTTAATAGGATAGCTGAAACAATGGAAAGCACCATGAAAAAATGAGCTCAGTCAAAGCTGAGTGACTGGACTACAGCAGTTCTCCTGGGAGGGAAATGCAAAGTGATCAGCTGGTTTTAAGTGCCAGTTTGGGAAAAAAATGCACTAAAATAAGCAGAAGAGCCAGGAAAGAGCCAAAGAATGCCTCTGCTGAGCCCCACAAGAAAGCCAAGACCCAGCCCTGGAGCTGCCTCCTTTGTCTGCTCCTAATGTGGCAGCAGGCATTGGTCTGCATCTCCAAGGGGATTTAGGACGTAATTCCCCCTGATTTCAGATAAGACTTCAGCACACAGATGCATCATCAGACTTGGGCTTTTTTTTAAACATTTGAAACTGAGCAGGAGCGTGCCAAGAAAGAGCTGACTGCCTTCTCAGTTTCTCCTTTGAGAAGGTAACAATTTGATTGAAAAATCCTGAATATGTTCTGACAGATATTCACCCAACAGAAAAAGCAGCAGTTCCTAAGCAAATCCATTACATCAGGGCTTGGTTTGAGAGACGGGATGGGGATGGGCACGGGGATGGGCTGGGAGTCAGGAGGTGGGAGCTCTGTTCCTGGCACTGCCAGCAATGACCTCAGGCAGATTCCTCTTAAGCAAGTTTTTACATATCCATAAGGTAGAGACAGCCAGGCCTGCATATCTACAAATGAAAAGTGCCACTTAAGAGATTATTATTATTATTATCATTATTATACACATTTTTACCTCTTTCAGAGTTTCAAGTGCCTATTTTGGTTCGACTTTCTGCAAACTGTAAGCTTGGCCAATGACTGCTATGAAGGGAAAATGAACAGCGGTCGAAATTTGGAACAGATTATCTCAGGCAGGAGGAAGGAAGTTAATTTATGGATGAAACCTTGAGAAACTGCCTGCTGTAAATCCTCTGTCTGTGCTCTGCTCAGAGATTCATTATATTCAATTGTCTGGCATAAAATGCAGCCTTTCCTCTAGGAGTAATAAGTGCAATAATCCATAAACCAATCATAAAAATGTTATTTCTTGAATGCATCCCCTTTGCAAGAAGAATGCCTTTGTTAGTATAAGGACTTGATTTATTTGTGTTTATTTATTTGTCCCAGGATTGTTTAACCACTGCCTCACTGCGTTAACAAGGGGCTGGGGAAGAGCCCTGAGGGATTTTGACGAATGGATTTTCCTAACAAAATTTTTGCTGGGCCCTGTTCTCAGCTGTTTTCACAGGGAAGGACAGCTTCCTGCTCTGAAACCACCACATACGGCCCAAACCCTCCCCTGGCTGCGGTGGCCGTGGGAATAGCTGACCCCTGTAATCCATATGGCGCTTGTGATCGCTGTGAGTAGTGTCATGGAAAGCCTAAGTTTCTCTTCAGCAGGTCTGAATTTAGACGCTGTTGCAACATGCGGGTGTCTTTAAATTTGGTGCCTGTTCACAAAGCATGGACAGGAAAAGCCTCCACATGGCCTGTCTTTGGCCTCTCCACTGTGTGGGAAAAGCCTGTTGTGTTAACCTCTTGCAGCAGTAGCAGGGGCTCAGGCTCAGACGGGAGCTCCCGCTGCTGTTGTCCCAACCTACAACTGACCCCAAGGGATCTCAGCCATATGCTCTCTGCAAAATCTTGATGCCGCCCCACTGCTCCATGTGCTCACAAGATGCTGCTGGTTTTGGCATGCCAGCAAGACACTGAGCTGTATCTCAAAAGCACATGGGGCTGTATGGGGTGTGGGTGGAGAGGTGACTCCCAAGGCTGCCCCACGCCCCAGGTGTAGCACACAACATCTCAGGCATAGCAAGGGCACAGGGACTCAGCAGCATCTCTTCTTATTATTAGTTATGTACACACACATGCTCCCTTGGCAGCTCAATGTTGAGCATCTGAAGATCTAGGGTGTATGGTTTTGGGCAGCTTTACCTCGCATTGCAAGAGCAGGTCCAGGAGCCCCATGGTGCAGAACACCTGACATTAATCACGTGTAGGCACCATACTGGGTTCTTCCACTTTCTGAGCAGTCAGTATTTCTGAGGAACCTGAGGAGCAGGTTGCTTACATTCATGCAAACACAGATTCGAGAAGCTGAGATCTCCCGTCCCCTTCACTTACCAATATTTTCCGGTCTCCGCCATGCAAGCTTCTTATTAAGAAGCAGAGTCAGCAGGGTGTTGTCGTGATTTGTGTCTCCTCTCTCCGGAAGCACTCGGTTCTCTACAGCACATAAAACACACCTTTCTCAATCTCTAATGACAAAAAGGGTGGACCCTCCAGCCCCCAACATTAAAACAAAAATTAAGAAGGCTAAGAAGTGGAAGGAAAATATCTCCTGTCAGCACTTTGTCAGGGTGAAAGGAGCTCAGGGGAAGAGGAAGATGTGTGAGCACAGAATAAAATGTCCAGGCAGTGAGGGCTGTGCAATGAAAGGGTGCAAGATAGGGGAGTCCTCCCTGCCAGCTCTGGGCTGCTGGCCAGTCTCACTGCAGCCTCATCAGCATGGCTGGCTGCAGAGAGCTGGAGACATCACCTTGATTTAAACAGTCTTGACCTCTTCTGCAAGGCATATGTAGCAGATGCCTCTGCAAAGCCAGACAGCAACCCACAAGAGCCTCTCTTTGCAAAATGGCAGGTGATCCGCTCTCACCCCATCCATCTTCCCAGGGCTGATAGAGGTGGGAACTTGCTCCTCATGAGGGCTGACGTGTGGACACCGTAGCTGAAAAGCCCTGCAGCCCTGCAGTCTATTCTTGCACTCACTCAGCCTTGGGGCTGCTCTATCTGATTGCCAGGATTCTTCCTGAACAGAGCCAAAGTGTGGAGGAGTTTAAAGTGAGCCTCTTTATCCCTGAGGAAGCCTCTTACAGTAGCTGTAGGCCACGCAGAATTTTTCTGTTTTCCAGGAAAAATCTCCCCAAGTTGCTGTCCTAACGCAGTTTGGGCCTCTCTGTGAGGCCCCTTTAGGGAGCTTTCTCAGTGGTTTTGCTTTAGTGGTTGTGGCTATGCCCTCAAATGAATGGTTGTGAGGCTCAAGGGATCAGCAGAAACCAACGGGCAAAGGGGATAGGACTAATCAGAGCACTGAAGACTCTGAGACCCTCCCAACTCTGCTGAACAGATTTCCAGGCTCATCTGAAACTTGAATGTTGCATTCATTTTTGAGAATGACAGAACGGAAACCAGACTTTACAGGAAGAATGGCCATTCCCCAAAATCTTTGGTCTGAACACCCCTGCCCCACACCCAGACCCTGAAAAGCCCTAGAAGATGCCTACAGAATCCATGGAAAATGCAAAGAAATTATGCAGAAAGGCTTATTTTCTCTTATTCCAGTAGCTTTAGGACTTCTGCTCACTCCGTTCAAGGAAGTAAGAAAGGAGAAAATGGTCTCATATAGTCATCAACCCTACATAGCTGTGATGGGGTGAATGCAATTATTTTTGATACATGAGACAAAACATTGTACCAGATAGCCTCAAGGATGCTCAAGAGTATGTGGGAATCAGCTCCATTAGCCAAAGTCACATAAATCTGCAGAAGCAGAGGGGCCCTGGCCAAAGTGATGCTCCGTGTATTTGGCCAGACTCAACCCTGCCACACGCTGCGGCTGAAGCCACTGGTCCTGATTGTGATCTTTAGAAATAGACCCGAGGGACTTAGCAGAGCTACATGCTGCGTAAAACTTGCAGTTAGTGTGGAGTGCTATAAACCATGTTCCTAAGTCTGAAAGACAGTTATGATTTTAAAATAGCTACTTTTAGTCATTTGGGGGATTTGCTACAGAAAAAAAAACCCTATAAACACTCTAGTAAAAACTAAACAGAAGCAGTATTTAGACAGAGTAGCCTCAGGAATGTTTTGGTTGTCATTACAAAAATAAATAGGTGATATAAGAGGAAAAATAATATTAAATGCGATGTTATTTTCAAGCCTATATTTAGCTGCTTTTTTTTTTCCTACTGCCAAGACTCTTTAAGAAAGAAGATTAATGATTGACATTTCCCTGCAGAATAAGTTCAAGCTAAGATTAATTTAAATTATGGGAGAAGAACATATAAAGAAGTTTTGTGGATAAAAGAAGTTCAGCAGCCCCCTACTACTGACATTTATGAGCTGTCAAATCTCATATGGTGCATACTGGAATTGCTACTCTCTGATATTTTAATGTTTTTCCTTGGAAATTTTCTTTTGGGAGAAAAAGAGCTATCCTTACCAGATTTCAGCAGATCTGATATTTTTACTGATTAGCAGAATGTGTCATACGACCAGCTGCTGACCAGAAGGACAGCTTTAGCTCATTCTAATATGAACAAGTCTCTGGGCAGTACCCATGTTAATTGATTGTTTAGTATAGCTCAAGGTTCATTTTATTTTCTTTCATGGATAAGCAAGTGTTGCATGCCCATGACAAGCAGCAAAGCAAAGCAAAAAGATAACCACCTACCTGTGTCATCTAGTCTGTATTCCAGCTTACCTTGTAGTAAAAAAGGCTCTCCATGTGTAGATGGGACATACAGAGTCATGGTCAAGATGGCTAGCACTCCAAGGGACAGCGGGGCAGACCACATCTTCTCCACCTTCCCACCACCCAAAAGCATTCTTCCTTCAGGCACGGTGGAGGACTTCAATGCAACCAGTGCCAGATGAGCTCACTTTTAAGAAGCAGTGGATGTGCCGTGATTGCAAATGGCCTTTGGAGGAGGGGAGAAAAATATCTCTTGAGATATAATTCAACCTGTCAATATGATTCACTCCTTTGGGAGTGGACAGAACAACCCAGTAACAGACGTCAGATGGAACTTGTTCAATATATCTCATATCAGACTGTTCTAATGAATTCTGATGTTCCCACCGGCATGCACCATCCACACGCGTCGATATACATTCCATACGTACATACATTAAAAATATTTTTTCGGGGCTGCTGCTTTTAATGGAGTTCAGACATGAGGACTCCCACATTAGCAAGAAGATTTGTCTAATGTACAAGTTGCCGTATGTCACCAGTTTGGACAGAATCAGGTTAATGGGGTTTTGTAATTTATCATCTCACTTCCTAGTGCCTATATTAATTAATATAAGATATAATGAGTGCTGAAGTGGTGGAAAACAGAGGGGGAGAGTTCTTTTCATTTAACTGATTGGAGGATGTTGAGTGTGTCTCACCCACCGTGACTTACGGCTTTGTCAACGGGAAAGGCATCACACCCTATTTTGGGATTGTGTCTGAGTGGGGGAGTGCAGATTTGGCAGCAGATATGGAATACATCAAGGATGGGCAACTGTCTTCAGTTTTTTCTTGGGGAAAAAAAGAAGTGGAAGGTCAGATGCTGGTTCTGGCTGCACAGCCATATTTTATTAGTTTAGGGCAAAGTATTGAGGCACATTGCAAATATTCCATGTCTTCTCAGGTCGTGACTACAGCTTTGTTTGGTTTCTATTCGTTGCCTGTCCATCACTATTGATGAGGGACCTGCTACTAGTTTTCTGTTACAACCTTACGAAGAAAAATGTTGTAATAGAAACAGCGCTAAACTTTGTTCTTCACTTCTGCTTCTTCTGCAGAACTGAATCATCTGTACTACACTTTGGCCAAGCTCTGACTTGTACATATACTCCTAGTGACTCACCTCTTGTGCTTTTTTGACACCATATCATGCCAGATTACCCAACATATCTTCATCTGATGGTACCTGCATTTCATCTTAACTAAAAGACAATATCATTTCCATGTTTGGGCTTTTGGCTTCTGGTCCCCAGCTCTCCCTACAACTTGCTGTGCACCTTGGATAGCTACAGGATGACTAACCTTTAATATCCTTTTTAATATTTACTTTTTACTAAAAAATGAGGGGGGAGAGGCTCAGATTTTTTTTGCAAGAAGAGCCTATGAAAATGAATGTGATGCTTCCATTAAGGAATATTTCTTTACTGAGGAAATATCCCAAAATTTTCCCTGCAGATATAATATGTTCAAATAAACCAAACTTGTCTTTTCTCTCAGTCTGGTGAACCAGTGATCAACCAGCTGAAGTACTCCCCTTCCCTTCTTCACAGAGTTCTGTCTGGACTGAAGGACACCTATGTCTTACAGGGAACACTTTTCCAGCCACCTCTATCTCCCTAAGCTGCCTGTTTCAAACTGGTCAATAGTGAGCAGACCCCATGAAGCAGAGGCCATAGCTGCATGAACACCACAGGAGTCCAGGGTGGACAATAGTAGCTCTGACTCAAAACCATATTCTTAAGGGAAGATCAAGTCTTGTTTTACTGGGTATTAAAGGGCTTTCTAGGTCCCTACTAGTCTGTCCTGAGATGTGCTGTGAAATTGGGTTTGTCTTGATATAGATGGTGGTTTTCCCCATTTTGTCTAAGTCTATGCAGAATCCATAGATCTTGGACTGTTTCTTCCTACCCTTGGCTGTGAGGCATCATGGGCTATTGGCAGGATCTTTCAGGAAGATGAGCTATTCCCTGGGATTTCCTCTTGCACTGTGGAGAAACTTCAGTTCTGGGTCACTGCAACTGTTCAGCCCTGAAAGCAACGAACATATATAGTGTGCAAGTCCTTTCAAGTGAGCGCCCTGGTGAAGATGAAGGACTGCCATTCTACATTTACATACTAGAAGGGAGATTGCTGGATGCTGTGAGCAGGTGGGTGGATAGATGACAGCCGGTGCCAGACGCTAGTGGACTTTTTGCATTTGTTGCTGTTATGAGATGGTTGATTTGAAGTGTTGGGCTTCTGTAAAACTCCCATCTGGAAAATTCCTTTGCTTTTAGCCCATCTGTCTGGGTGCTGGAAATACTATTGAATTTTATTGTTCTTACATATTTTATTCTCCCTAGAAAAAAACCCATAGTCTCCATGTTCTCCCTATTACTTCACTCAGTGATAATGTCTTCTACATCATCGACTGAGCACTTGTGTCTAGAGCTCAGAGACAGTGAGATCATGAACATGGGCGCTCCATCTCTACCTTCCATGGTCCTAGTTTGCCTAAGCCTCTTCATGTAGGAGTTTCTCTTTTCCTAAAGCTATGCAGACTTCAGGTAATCAAACACAAACAAATTGGAAAATTGATAAGGGTGGACAAAACTAACCAATCCAGAGGGCAGGAAGGGGGAAGACTCCGCCCAAGCAGCTGAGATGCCACTAAACTCCGCTGTGCCAGCTCTGCGTGTGAGAGAGGGGAGTACACATGTCAGTGCCCTGAGGGTCTTAACAGTCCTGAGCAGCCCCAGCTGGGGCCTCCACCCACCCTCTCCGCCCATAGGCTTGAGAAGCCCCATTTATGCTCAGCCCTGGGCCACCTCTGTTTCTGCCTGAGCTATATTGGAGGAATGCTGGTCTGCAGCTCAGCTATGTCTTTGTCTGCCCATGGTCCTTACCGAATGCGACCCAGACCTGCAGGTTGACTTTCCTACTTGACCTCAGATGTGTTTCATCAGTGTGGACTTGTCTGGTGTTCACTGGGCTGTGTTTGACTCTGGTTGCTGTCATCAGGCCTGATTCTGACTAGTGGATTGATTTCCATGTTGACCCTGGATCTGCCTCATCATCATGGACTTCCCTGATCATTGTGACTCTTGACTGTATCTGGCTGATGGCTCTGGGCCTGCCCTGATTGCACCCCTTGGAGCATCTCCCTGTCCTGCTGGCAGCATCATTGCACTTGGTTCCCTGTTCCCTAGGGAGCAGCTAGTCCTTGCTGCTCTCAGACATAGTCTTCCTCAATGTTCAGCTTTCTGTGCATAGGCTCCTCTTCTCTGCTAGGTAGACTAATAAATCTTGGAGCAGTAAAGCCTTTCAGGCATGTTATACAAAATCCCTTTCTCTGAAGTCACTTTGGGCTTTGCTGTTAGCTCTAATGAAGCTAAGACTGCCTTTAGAAGAGATGCAGTCCCCAAATAACCTAACCTTAGCTTAGCCCCAAAGCAGTAATGTTTACTGTTTCACAGTAAGCCTCAGACAAGGGGAATTCAGTATGGGGTTTGGGTGACTTGTAAGATGCAGGAGAACATGAAAGGGCTACTTTCCAGAGCCAGCTTGGAGTGGCAGGTTTCCAGACCACTTTGTATGCTGTACATTTGGGGTTTGGAGAGAGGGAGGATATTTTTTTTTGCCAGAGCTTCCTGAGAACACATGAAAACATCACATACATCATGTATTACAGGTGAGCCTCAACAGCATCCACGGGCTTTGCTGTGGTCTTATGGTCTCCACTTAACCATAGTTTGCTCCGTCCCAAAGCAAACAACCTGCCGTGGCAGGACCTGTCAGGGAAGAGCCTTTACTTAAGGTTGGGAGAAAGGACATATGAACTGTCCTGCAACCTCTGCACCAAGGATAGGACTTGGCTGCAACCAGGTAGTCTCAGCTGCTGGAGACAGGATTTTTATACCGTGTGGTACATATGGGGAGACTCATGTATCACTGTTTTCTTGCCTAGAGTGTTTCTAAGAATAAAATGAGGGTGGGGAATGACAAACAAATTTGGAAATGAGGAGGGGACATGCCTTGTAGAGGGAAAGGCAGGATGGGGGCTTGACAGCCCCAGCAAAGCAGGGAGAAGTTGGTGAGCTTTTAGCAGGCAAGAAAGGGGGCCTGCCCTCAGCAGGGGTGAAGTGAGCTTCATACACAATGTCAGAAAGGCAGGAGTCATCTTGTTCCCCATTCTGGGCAGTGACTTACGGTGTATCCCCCTGTTCCGCCATGTGCCTCTTATCACCTCTGCCTATTCACATGCCAAACAACCTGTTTCTATCTTCTGTAGTGTGGTGTTGCAGCCCCCAGGGCCACTCTGAGGTCCCAGGGTAAGCCTTATTGTGCTGTTATCTTGGTCCTAAGTGCAGTGACTTGGGTGTCAGCTGCTCCCTGTCCACACCTGGGCCATCTGCTGCCTGAATTGTACACCAGAGCGACTCAGCACAAATTGTGGCCAGAATGTAAAATACTGACCAAAGCCAATCACCTTGAGATCCTATAAATACCGATCCAAAAGGGAGACCTTTCGAGCTCTCTGGGGCTGCGGCAGGCTGTGTGACCCACTGTCCCCACCTGAGCTGGGACGCCTCTCAGGGTATATTTCGCGAGGGTTGAAGGATCGTCCGTTGGTGATTTCGCGAGGACTCAAAGGCCTGATTTTGTGAGGTTCACCAACTGTCCATTGATGAATGCCGGCACATAAAAGTGAGTACTTAATGAAACTCTTGAAAAGGGAAATATTAGTCACAAGTTAACCTCTGTGTGTGTGTGCAGCTTGATTCAGAATTGTCTGTCTGTGTGTGTGTGATTTGATTTAGAGCTGTTTGTCAGTCAGTCTGTGTGTGATTTGATTTAAACCCCATCTGTGTGTGCAACCCTGCTGTAAGTTTCAGCTGATCCTTGCCATTCTTGAATCTTTAACAAAGTTGCTATTTTGATTGTAACAAATTTCATTGAATTACTCTGTTAAATTGGCTGATGCTTAAGTGCCGGTAAGAATTATACAACCTAATTCTGTGGTCTATCTCAAAAATATTAATAAATCTTAAATTGCTGCTAAAACAAAGATCTGTAAAAAATCATATTTACGATATGTAGCCAAGTCCCTTC